AAGCTAATCAATCCATATACATTAGTTATCTGTATATACATCCAGATGATCCCTTTAAAATCAGGGGAGGCAGGGAGCTCACTCATTCCCTCTCTCTCTCTCTGTAGAAGCAAACTTTTCATGGGATTCCCGCGAGGGGGCCCACCCTTCAGACTTCAGGTTAGAGCAAGGCAATGGCTCGTTCAATCACGCGAATTACAACTGTCGTTGAAACCATGGACTCATTCCCGTTCGCGTCCGTCGCGAGCTGAAACCCACATGTGCGCAAGAGTTGAATGGCAGACGGAAGGGGGCCAATTTTCGTGCGAAAAACACTTGATGTTGTTTTCAAGGAGCGTTTTGTAGTGTCAAAGGGGCTCTCGCGTATGTTTGTCAGGATGGTGCGCAGCACTGCAAGACACTGGCGAGCCACCGCTGCGTCTTCGTAATTCCGCACCTCATCCACCAACCGCGGCAGCGAAGATGGTGGATCAAGAGGCCTATCGAAGACGTCTGCAAGAGGGGTGGTCTGAGCAAGCAAGCGGCCAATATTCCACGAAGCCGTGTTTGGGACATCATCTCTCACACTTGCCAGTTCTTTGCTCTCCACCTGGGCTGTTTCTTGACGCCGTTTGTGTACAGCCTCCTCAACCTCCGATTCGGCAATGCGTAGCGCCTCCTCCATCGTCTTCCCCTGACGTGCATACTTGTCAGCAAGTAGCTGCACTTTCACCCGGCGTCTGGCAATGAGGTCGGCCTCCTTCTGTTTCCGCACCTCCGCAAGATCGGCTTCCCTTCGAAGTTTTTCAAGCATTTCCCGTGTCTCCATAGCTTTCCTGCCCATCGCAATGCGCTCGCGCTCCTTTTCAGCAGCGGCTCGCTTCTCCTCCTCAACCTTTGCCTTGGCTTTTTCCCGCAGCTCCTGCACCTTCCTCTCACGTTCCGCTTCGGTGAGCACACGCTTGGCCTTCACAACCACCTCCACTCCCTCCTCCAACGGGGTGTCTAGCTCTGGATGGCCCTCATGCATTGTGATCCACTGTGTGCAGGTGCCCGCATCCACGCAACCCGCAACTATAGACTTTTTGATAGCGTTGTCGCTGAATCCTTTTCCCTGCAGCTCTTCAAAGAGCTTCTGACTGATGTAGTGCGGCTGAACTTCCCCTGGCGCCAAGGTGGCCGAAGTCGACGACGACGAGGGCATGTCAGCACTTGTTCCCCGCACATTTGGTGGTGGTTCACCTTGGCCGGACATTGTCGGGATGCTTTCCGTAGCAATGTGCCTGTCTTTATGTGTGTGTGTTGTTATTGTTGTTGTTGTTGTTGTTCTGTTTTGTCTTGTCTACCCTTCTGTTTCTCTGCTTTCCCGGCAATCTTCCCTTGTTATTGCGTGGGGCAAGGCAGTGAGAAGTGGAGAAAGGAGAAGGTAAAAAGTAGTGCGTCACCGTTCTCTCGCTGAGGTAGGCAAGGGAAGCTAAGGGGGCACAAAAAGGGTGATGCCAAAGAGGCGGCTCCCCAAGAGGACCCCAGGGAAGCGAAGGTTTGCGCAGTTGACGGCAGCACGCCCGCAAGCCCATCGGACAGCGTGCGGGAGGGGAGGGAGCTCAGGAAACGGTTGGAGGGCCGCCCGCGGCGTCGAGGAAAGAGACGTGGTGGGACCTAGTGGAAGAGACAGAAGGCGGTTGATGTGTGGCCGCCGGGCGACACTCATGGACGGCGTCCGGACGGGACAGCACCGTCACCTCCACCACCAGTGTCTCAATCATTCGCCGGCTGAAGGAGGACACTTCACTAGACGGGCTGAGAAGCAGGGGCGCCATCAGCGGAATGCTCCGCGTGGCCTTATGCTCCCGCGAAAACCCCTCATGTAAACGTTCAACGAGGGAGAGCGCCCGACTTAGGGTGTCCGTCGTCCTTCCCGGCTCTGAAGCACACGCGCCTGCATAGTGAATGAGGCGAGCCTCAACCAACTGCCGCGTCGCAACCGACGCGTAGCGCACCACACGCTCCAAACACACGAACACGGACGTGGCCCTGTGAGGATCACTGAGTAAGAGATCTACCAAATGGTCGGGTAGACAGTCGGAAAACTTCAATCCACCGCCTGCCTCCGCCAGTTGGGCAATACGGTCCACCGCCAGTTTTGTCACCTTCTCATGTTCAAGCTTCGCCTCAACACACCGCTCGAGGAAGGGTAAAATGATCTCATTCCTGTCGCAATCCTCGCTGAAGTATTGCAGTAAAGGATCCATCTTCTCAAGTATCACCTCCGCAAAATCGCCGCAGCGTTCAAAGGATTCTGCGGCACTCACTCCGCTCAAAAGAGCCGTAAAGAAGTCCCGCAGGTGTGTGACAAACACCTGCGCAGATACGCACCGACAGCACTGCAGAAGAATTGGAAGGGCGTATCGAAGTCGGTTCTCCTGCAGTCCCTCGCGACGCATCAGGGGTATGATGACACGCACAATCAGCGCCTCCTCAAACATGGAACGACCAAGGCATTTGTAAACCCCTTTCAGCGCGGCAAATTGAGCCGCGTCGTCGAGGGTGTCGTATTTCCCCAAGGTTTCCAAAAGCAACAGGGGCTCTGTGGCAAAAATCTGCTCTTTCCGTAGTGTGGCGAAGGAGGGCCGCGGCACGGACAACGGTTGCCCCGAAAACCACTTGGCAACCTCCTTTTCCACACCCGCGTACTGGTTGCTGTACAGTTCAGGTCTACCGCCGGAGTTAAAGGCCTTGCGCCCAGACAAGGCCTCCACGCACACAACCACAAAGGAAAAGATATCGCTGTCTGGCAGCTTTAGCCTCTTCTCCTCGCGAGGACTCGACACAGAAAGGTCCTCCGACGCCTTTTCCTTGAAAGCCTCAACGAGTTCAGGGGAGCAGTAGTCCAACAATGGCGCCGCAATACCCGAGCGTGGATGCGATGAAGCAAGCGACGTGGCGTTGTTGGCCGGCACAGCATGCGAGAAGTCAAAGAGCTTCCATTCCCCCTCAACAATGCACACAGCTTGGGGACAGAAATCGCACAGTAGGTGACCGCCACGCTCATGGATAAATTGTATGGCACCAGCACAACCAAGTAATCCAAAGAGAACTTCCTGCTGTGAAAGGGACCCATTAGAAAGCTCAGTTGGGAGCAAAAATGAGATACGCTCGGTCACAATACGTAGGTGCTTCTTATCGTCAACCAGTGGCTTCACTACCCGCAGAATGCCTGGATGCCGCAGGCGGGTGAGAAGATCCATCCCGTGCTTGAAGGCGTCTATGACACAATGGGCCTCAGACGCTGTCGCACAGCGGCGCACAACATCGTTTACTTCCAGCGATAAGACAGAAATCAGCCTACCAGAAGAAATTTCAACCCCATCTTGAACATGAATCAAGTCGTTTTTCCCAGCACGAAAGTTCCGTGTGCAGAGCTCGTAATCACCAATGGGGTCCTGAGCTAGAATGTTGGTGAGTGAACCCTTCACCATGGACAGCATCTCATCGCCTACAAACACCAAAGCTTTTTATATATAACAAAAACACGAAAGAAAAGAAATCTTTTTTTGTCGTTTAAATGCAGCTTAGCGAAATTAGAAAAAAGTATATGCCTTAATGCTGATGCACGCAAGTATGTAACTATATGAATATAGACATCCATATGCATGCATATATGCATAAGTACACACACACACACACACGTAACTGTCCGTGCACCCACTCTCTTTTAAATACCGGTGGAACTCAAATAAGGAAGGGCAGTGTAAATGTTAAATGCAAACCATCCATTGTCGCATGCATGCGCAGAGAGGTTAGGACAAAAAACATTCTCACAAAGAAAGAAACAAAAAAAAAACGGAATAAATTGCATTTTAGGCCCTGCGCATCAAAAACAGCTGTCATCACCCACTTCCTTCAGAATCCTTCTCGGAAGTCTTCCTTGGGGGGTTTGAGAGTGATGGTTGTCAAGCGAGGCTCACCCAGTCGGTTATAAGTACAACACCAGACAGTGCGATGGGGGCACGGTTTGTGAACGGCCTCCTCTACCGTCGGGCCATCAAAGAAGGAAAGCAGGGTCCGCAACACCGCCTGGTGGGCCACAATCAAAAACACACTTGCGTGCCACGTCCAGTTCAAGTAAAAGGGGTTCTAGGCGTCGCAAGAGGTCCCGGTAGGACTCTCCATTGGGATATCGAAACCCCACCTTGTCAGTGTGTCTAAAAGATTGAATGAGGGGGTAAAGTGCCTTAATTTCCTCGTTTGTCATATCTTCACATACGCCTGCATGAATTTCATTCAGTGTCTTGAGCGTCTTCAACTCTCCATTTGTTAGGACCCGCGCAGTGGGTTCAGCCGTGTGCTGCGTGCGCTTCAGCTGGCTGCACCACACTTCAAACCCCTCCTCCTCATCCCAGCGTGCATCTCGTGAGGCGAACAAACGCTTGTTTCCCACCACCTGCTTCTGAAAGAACTCGGCAATTGCCAAGGCATCGTCTCTGCCCAAACTGGTGAGATCGGGATCGCCACCAAGACGACCCTGCAAGTTGTACTCGGATTGCCCATGACGAGTAAAGAAGAGCGGTGAAAAGAAACTGAGCGTCTGATCCATGGGACCCACTAAAGGCTCGTAAAGGTAAACCCGATGGAGCAGAGGAAGGCAACTGTTGAGGTATCCGGTTACCTTTGCACCGACAATACTCCCTTGACTTCGCGTCGCACGGAAGGACGGTTGCTTCAAGCATACATTGATGTAGAGGCCCTTCAGTGAACTGCGTCGCTTCCAGTCCTCATCGAACCAGACGTGGCGAACGAAAAATTTCCCCGCGACTTCAGCATGCCGTGCAACTTGTCATACGCATCCATTGGCTCACAGTCAAGCAGGAGAATTACCACAGGAAACGCCGCGAAACCAAGACGCGGATTGGAAGCCAAATACTCTAATGATTGCTCCAAACACGACTCCGTGTACTTCTGCCAGGCCACCGGGTCATCCGCAAAGCGTTGCACTTCGGTGTCTCGTTCATTGGGCCCTGCAAGGAAAAACCTAACACTCTCACCGCACCAGCGCAGATAATGCAGGAGACGTGTGCAGAAGAAGCGTGCCACCAAACTACATCGAAGCGGGGAACTCACGACTATAAAAACGGCGCTTGCGGAGCCGCTCCACTCATTCGTTGTTATCCCCGCACTCTTGACACTCGCAAGCTGTGGGGGTGGGGCAAAAACACACTCCTTTGGCGGATTTGTCGATCCCTCAAAGCGGCAAAAATCAATCGAGTTTTCCACGGCGGAATCGTCAAGACTTATGCTACTTTTCAAAGGTAACATTGTGACAGACATATGCACACGGGCGTTTCCGCCTTCGTCGCAATTGAATCGAGAAAGCAAATAAAAGGAGGAAACAAAAGCTCAGCTGAATTACAGCAGTGCCGAATATTGATGAAGGCGCAGCCAGTAGGTATGCAATCAGCTGTATTTGGCAAAGTGCAAGTCAGTCGTTACTGCCGTCGTTCACGGCGCCACCTGAAAACTGTGGACGGTTGAAATTACACACACACACACACACACACTCACACACACGTCAGAGCAGTCCATCTTCTTCCTTCATGCGTCTAATGATCTCCTCCTGTTGTCGCAAAAGCTCACGTCGACGGAGCTCAGACAAGAGAGGCTGGGCGGGCATTGGAACCTTGCTTCTGCCGCGCGGAGCTCCTCCTCGCCGCCTCCAATACAGGCCCGGGAGGAACTTCATCAGGGCGACCGCCACGAGGAAGGCCACAGAGGCGATGGACGACCGTGGCGCGGTCCCCTCCGTCAACCGTCGGCGCAGTTGGAAGACAGCGTTGCGGTCCGCTCCGCCGAGGCGCACCATAACCACCAAGAGAATTTCGTCGTTGCTTAGCCACTCCATCCAATACCCCAGCACGGTGAAAGGGGCTTGCGCACACTCCCCATCGACTGGAAGGTAGACGCTCCGCGGTGTTTCGAAAAAAGTACCGGTTGCCGCTTCCATGTGGTGCTCGGGCCGTAAGAAAGTCACTCCTGCCGCGGGACAGTCCGTGAGGCGAAGACCCTCGCGAGTCAACTGCGCATTCACAACTCGCGGAAGGCCCAACCGCCATGCAGCGGTCCCAGCCAAAGACCACTGCATGTCATCGTCCGTCCCAAGCAGCCGCAGCAGCCGCAAGACGGACTCTGCAGCCGCCACCAGCACACTCTGCTCCACATCCTCCCCACGCAAGACGAGAGAAGCGGCAGACAACTCAGCCACAAATCCTGTTCGCCGTGGATGTTGCCCCGCAAGCCGCAAAACACTCCAGTTTCCCTTCATTTTACTGAGCATATTATCCTCCTCCGCGGCAGTTACAACCGCCGGAACCCCTGCCGCCACTAAGACGGCTACCACCAGGGAAAGCACATGCGTCCGCGTCATCCTTCGTCGCAAATGCAGTTCCTTGTCAGGTGATAAATTGTTGGGGAGGGGGAGGGGGAGGGAGAAGGAAGAAGCTCGACCTCTCAAAGACGTTTTAGTCACAAACACATCTGCAGCATGTATATAATTGATGTCCTGCGCCACCACACCCTCATACTCACACGCATTGTTTGTTTTTTTTAGCCAGACTCCAAAAACGGCCTCTTCGCGAATGCCATCCAAAACTTATTCCCGGTGCCGTCCTTCTCTGGAAACAGAAAGACCTTCTCAATGAGGCGTACGCTGGCTTCCAGGCGAAGTTGCTTTGCGTACTCCCGCCATCTTTCCTGTTCTGCCTGGGTCCCAGGAGGGAAAAAAGCGTTAAACGCAAAGTCCTTTTCCCCTGGTGACGCAAACGACGTGGTGGCGTGGTTGAGCAGCACAGCATTAGCCTCTTCACGCTTCAGCGAGGTGATTTTCTTCAAACACTCGTGGAGGTACATCGTCACGTACAGAATGACGCGGTCGCCAGCACCTTTAATGGGGAAGGTACGGAAAAGCATGTGCGGCTTAAACAAGTAGAGCGACTCATCGATAATGTCCTGGGGCTCCTCTTCTTCCTCCTCAATCACGTCAAGCATGCGCGGCGCGGGGCCGGCCGGCGTCAACCGTGTCGTGCGACGTAGCGGATACACACCACACCCCAACAAACTACATTCTTCATAACCATTCCACCTGCTGTGCATCTCGCAGCGGTTCAAACAAAACGGCTTTCAAGCGTCCGTGCGCACAAGACAACACGAGAAACAATGCAACAACAACAACGCAAATCAAACACAAACAGCCAAAAGCAACAACAATAATGTGTAGGATAGAAAAAAAAATAATTGGCCTGTACAAGAGCAACCACACGGCGTCATCGGCAGGTGCGCTGGAGAACATAAAACACAAATTCAAGCAGCAATCCATCAATCGGAGTGGGTCCGTTCAGTATTCTTCACAACATTCATACGAAGAAGGTCGTCAATCTTCCCTTGCTTTGACTCAATTTCAAGTTCGCGTTGGTGCCTCCACACACGCATCTTCAAACCGTCCTCTTCAATGATGCGTTGCAACTCATTTTGATTGTAAGGGTACTTCTCAAAGACGCCCGTGCGCATCATGCCACTCCGGTACCGATCCACAAAAAACATGACCTCCCCCCTTCCTAATCGTTTGTACCCATCGACAGGCTCCGCCCCCTTCTCGGAACGACTACAACGCCACAGCAACTTCGTCAGATGCAACTGCACAATTAAAGAATCCATGTGCAAGAACGAGGCTAACAAGTCCTGGAAACGATCATCGCACCGCCAAGGCCTCATCCCATAGTAGATGCTACGGCCCGTCACCACATTTATGGACTCTGCCTCATCCGCCACACGCGAATAGTGTGGGGTTTCCTCCATAAGACACTCCCTACTGCACGCAAAACCAACACAGCCAAAAAAAAAACAATTAAGACACGGCAAAACAATAAATCCATTCCAGCTACAAAGCAACACAACACAATAATATCAAAGCGTACAATAACACCACGACCGCTTCAAAAAAAAAAATCATTAAGACCAACAATGCTTTAATTGGGAAAAAAAATTATTTTTAAATTAACCCCACTCCCCCCGACACCCTATAGCTTGTCGAGGAAGGAGTCCAGCGGCGGAATGTCCGGCTTCAGGCCCTTGCGCTGGCGCACGCTGAGCGTCAGCGTGTTGGCCTGCGACTTCGGCTCCAGCGGATCGCCCGGGTACTGCTGCCAGTGGTCGAACACGCACTGCGGGAACGCCTGGCCACCCGTCCCGGCGCGGAGGTCAGCGGTGAAGCCGAACGACTCCGCAACAGGGAGGTACGCCCTGACGTTGTAGATGGGCGTGCCGGGGCGGTTTTCCTCGCCGATGATGACGCCGCGGCGGCGCGTCAGCACACCGTAGATGCCGCCCATCGCGTGCTCCACCGTCTGGATGTCGACCTGGAACA